AGTCACACAAAAAACTCACACCTGAAAGATATAGAAATGTTAACATTTTACCCATGTAGCAGGATTAATAAACAACGTGGAACTGGTACAGACTTAAAGACACGGATTAGCATACATAAGGCAAAATGTCTACAAACATTTCCACAGAAAAAGTATTAACAAACACCTGACTCACAACTTTCTATTCCAACTTCAACACGGTTCTACTGCGTGGAGCAAAAAGTTGGAGAACTAAAAAAGCCATCATCCCGTGGTGCAAGTATTAATCAGGAGTTCTGTGTGCAAGATACTTCGAATCGCTTGACCAGACACTATCAGCAACAACCTACTGTGCAAGAGAACAAACCAGGATTCAACAAAGGAAGAAATTAAACAGAAGAACTGGAAGTGATTAAAACACAAACTGAAGAAAGCATCGAACAACCTCACTAAGCAAAACACAGTTCAGAACTTGATAGTTGAAGATAGACAGGTGAAGAATGAACAGTAGGTGACTGAAAATAAAAAACCAAGTTCCAGCACAGAGAAGGTCGGAGATAGATTGCGGTCATCTATGCATCAGTAGACTTAACAAGCACTAGAGAGCCCCATACTTAAACAAACGTGCTATCAAATTCGCTCACATTCTACATACTTATCTATCCCATACCGAGCGCAGTAGTTCGCTCCGTCTTACTTTATGGCTGTCAAACATGGCCAATGAGAGTAGAAGATATTCGTAGGTTACTGGTTTTCGATCATAGGTGTCTCCGCAGCATTGCTCGTATATCATGGGACACCCGAGTGAGCAACGCTGTTATTAGGAAGCGGGTGCTAAGTAAGGATGGCAGGTCAATAGATGAAGTAATGAGACATGTGTTGCGTATGCTCAACCACCGACTGCCTCGACGAGCTTTGTTTTGTAGTGTAGGAATAGGTTGGAAGAAAGCTAGGGGTGGCCAGACCAAAACATGGCAGAAATCCATGAAGTCATTGACAAGTGGATTGAGTCATGTCGGTAATTGTCGACTACCTGGTTGGGGTCCGCGAGATGATAATAATCGATGGTTAGAGACCTTGAATGACATGGCTCAAAATCGTTCGCAATGGCGCCGGTGCATTTATGCTTTGTGTCCACTCAAATACTAATCTTCTGTGTTCTTCAACAACTCTAGTTTTGACTATCTAAACTTTTCTCATTAAATCATACTTCTTGAATAATACTTTCTAATCCTAACCTCTCCGATTACTTCTTATACCTTCACTACCTTTTCTACTATGGGATTTGAATCGACAGTTGCATCTCTGTGCTGATGTGGTATGGCAACATGAACTGATGTACTTAGGTACGAAGTTCTACGTTGCATCTGACTGACTGACTGATTGATTCTCACAGTCTCAAACACAAAATTCAACACACACAATATCATTTTGTTTAAACAATACACATATATTTTATTTATTCAAAAATTAGTTTACAATCACATCGAATTCAATTCAATCAATTTTCGGCCATAATCCAAAACTATTCAAACTGATTATTTATTTCGGTGATTTCGTTGTATTTCTCGTGCTTCCAATTTGATCCGACTTACTTCTCTTTTAAAATCGATACTTTGGTGGTATGGTATCTATGGATTCACCAAGTTTTGAAAGTTTCTTGCGTCTGATCAATCGACCTTCATCTCTCTTCTTGTGCTTCTTCTTCTTCTTATCATCGTGATTATGATGATGATCACGACGTTTGGAGATTTTCTTCTTTTCTACCGGTATACCTTTAGCCTTCCTATTAACATGACCATGATGGTGATCGTCGTGGTCATCATCATCACTCAGAATCCCGTTGAAATTTTGGATGAGCAGTAATAAAACAATGAAGAATAATGTTTGAAATGTAATGGACATTGTGATAATTAAGTGTTGTACCATACACTGATATAGAACACGATATATATATACAAATGTGTTGTAGAATATGACGTAATTCACGTTGACAGATGAGTTGTAGTGAGTCATTCAATGTCTAGCTCACATGACTTGTCCCACTTGCCTTTCGACCTTGTCAATCATTCGTCGCTTTCATTCATGTGTGTGCATGCCTATCTTGCTCGTTACATGTCTGTCTTACCTTTTGTCTGACTATAAATTCTTAGTCATGCTTTGTCTCTAGAAGTTGGCTCATTAGCCTTCTCCAATTGACCTCATCTATTCATTCGCCAATTCGCTCGCTTGCTTGCTTTCCAACGCTCGTATGAGGATTCTATTTTTAGTGCTTGTAGTCTGTTGATTTATCATTGTGGTGTGCCGAAATCAACGTATTTAACACTTCGAGTTCACCTTCTGATTTATAAACCATCAGACGCTAGTTAGTAACGATTGTCCAGACGAACCAATTTACGAAGCCAAAAAAACAGGTTGGATACCAACCATCACGAAACTAGTAATACATTGGTCACTACAGAACGATTTTTTGACATCTGATCTACCGGGTCATTCGAATTAAGAGTGACGTTTTTTGGACAAAGAAATGATTTTCTGTCAGTGTAATGATTTCTGGAATACTTTCGTTGTTCACTTAATGCTCGATAAAGAAACTATATTCTTTACGTATATGACTACCACATGGGATAGATGGAACGTGACTAGCAGTAGATTGAAGGTCAAAGATTGGATCTGTTAGCGACGTTGGATCCCGAGAAGTCGATTGGAAGAGGTCCTAAAATCGTAATTTTATTGTGAAATTTTGAATCGCATTGTTTTCGCGCCATAAATGCTTAGTTTATCTTCAGTTCGCATTTCCCACTCGGTGTATCCTTGACGATCCTCGGTTTATGGATTATTTTAGTACACTAGTTTGTGGCTCTCACAAAAGGCGTTTATTCAGTTGTATAACTAAGGTTGAATTGTGTGTTTGGTAACATCAACCGTTCTGGGTTCCTGTAGAATAAATTATCTATGCCTTATCAAGACTTCTTGCCCTAGTTATCGGGGTCACATAAAATCGGATTACAACAATCTATCATGTCACTTCATCGTTGATCTTCATCCCATTTACCGAGAAAAGTGAACATGTAATAGCCGCAAACATATCAGAATGAAAACTAGAAAACGAGTGGACGAACTCTACGTATGACTGACTAAGTATTTATTGTTAGACGAAAAATAGTTAGAAATGTGATGAGCGAAGTAAGTAATGCGGATACACACTAAAATAGAAACTAATAATGACATGAACGAATAAGAGACAAGGTTAGAAGACCTGTGAACAATAAGTCGTTTAATTAATTTGTTGCAACGTTGAGACGAGACATGTTGCCTTATTATATGAGTACAGACACTACATGTTCCATAGGAAGAAAAACAAAACATTTGATACATGTGATCAGAATCCTTTCCGGACATCTATGTCATATATGTGGAGCTGTACTAACACTGAAAATACGTAGGCGGTGCCTTTACAGCA